CTGCTCCGTTTGTTGCTCCAGTCCACGCTGCTCAGTGAGCAGAGGACGAGGAAGCTGTTTCCTGCTCTGTTTTCCTCTGTCGCCGGCGGCGCTGCAAGTACCGGTTCCATCCAAATGCAGTATAGTACCATTTTAAATGCCTCAGTACCGCGGTACCATACTAGTACCGGTATATTGTGCAACACTAGTTCCAGTGTAACACAACAGTCCTGCAATAAATCCTCCTTCATGAGAGATGTTGCTGTTGCTTTGTCCACCCCATTTATCACAGTGAGGCCAAGCTAAACAGAAACAAATCTTTGCAAAACGCAGGATTTATTGCAGGACTGTTGGATCAGACTGACCTGGTTTGAGACGGGGGAACCTGATAATCTGCTGTCTCAGTGAATATCAGTCATTAAGTGAGTATGAATGTTATTACCAATAATAAGATTTGTCAGCTGACCATTTTGCTGACCTCTGTCATGTCGCTCCTCCCCAGTTCTTTCCATACATCCTGCTGCTGCTGGCTGTGCTGATGTATGGCCCGGCGTTGTTCTGGAAGTTTTGGGTGGCACCACTGTTGCAGTCGGACCTTGGGTTTATCTTGGAGGAGCTGGACCGGTGTTACAACCGTGCTGTTACTCTGGCCAAACACATGGCCACCTCAGAGCCTGGCACCCCAGACAGGTAGAGTCGGACACCTGAGTGTCTGCAGGGGAAAGTAGCTGGGGTTAGGCTAAGTTTGGATTCAGGTTTAACATCATAGAAGAAAACCAGTTGGAGTTAAAGTGGTGTGTGAAACATTTCCTTGCTGCATAACGCCTCCTGATCTTTCTCTGTCTGCTCCTTTATTGCGTCTGGCCAGCGACCCTACTGAGGGCTGCTTTAATTACCCGCTGGTGGAGAAGTTCCTGGTGACCAAGCGCAGCTCACGGGTGCTGCTGTCTTACTACTTGCTGAGTCACGGCCTGACTCTTGTCATTCTGGTGTGTGCCTGCGTCTACCTGGGTTACTACTTCTTCCTGGCTTCCACCAAAGACGAGTTTGTCTGCGGGCTGCGTGTCGGCCTGCTCGCCTCTGACCACAGTATCCCTGAGAAGGTGCAGTGTAAGCTCATCGCTGTGGGAATCTTCTATTTGCTGAGGTATTTGTCCAGTGCACTGAAGCATTTAATGAAACAAATCAGATATAAGTTGGGAGGGTCTGCTTAAAGATACCAGGGCGGTTTCCATTAATGTGTATCTGTCAGCAGGGTGGACACAATAACATGAACACCTGTAAAATATTAGGAACTCAAATACATTAGCTCTGTGATAAAATGTGCCTCTGTGAAGCTCAAGTATTTGTTTAGACTGTGTCAGAAATCATTGGTCTGAAGCTGTTCTTTTGTGATGGTGACGTGCTGGAGTGGTTAGTCGGCAGGTCTTCTGAATTCATTTGACTCTAAAAGGCATAAACCATCTTACATTACATTTACAGACGTCTTAAATATTCTTTTGCCTGCCATAGACTTGTTGGCTTTACTGACCCGTAGCAAACACTGACTCCTGCTGCTGCACTAGCTCTGAAGTTCACTGATATTGGACAAATGATTTTAGCAGTTAATTATTTTTAATTAGTTGATCACGTCATTAATTTTGTGCCACTTATCTGTGTCCAGGTCATGTGATTGAGTCGTCAATTATTTTTGATTATTTTTTTTGTATACACCTGGAAAGTACAGACACAAATGTCAGTACATTCATGGACTTAATTAATGAGGCCTTATTATCTGTACTGGTTTTCAATCATTCTTTGATTTAACATCATTCTGTGTTCTACTGTAAAGGTCTGTTTCATGACCATAGAAAACAGCAGCCTGTGTGTTTGCTCTGTTTCCAGCCTTGTCAACTTGATCGTGTTCATTGCACTGATCCCCGTGGTGATCTACGCCAGTATCCGTCCCCTCTTCTTCACTGGATATGCCCGGTTCCTGGAAGGCTACCAGTCACTGCCCACCATGAGCATCCTGCCCACCCCCAGTGGCCAGTGGGACGACCTCAATCTGTATCTGCTCTTCCTTGAGGAGAACATTAGTGAACTAAAGTCCTACAAGTACATCAAGGTGTGTTAAGTGTGCCGTTCCGTTCTTTGGCTACATTGTGCTGTGTTTACTGTTTGCCAATTTATGGGAGTGTCTGAGCTTTATGGACACTCACATAAATTATAAATTATTTATGCTCCAAGTGCTGTCAGAAATTCCCAAACTGGAACAAAAAGGCCCACCTGCTTCTCTACCGCTGTCAGTGATGACAAAACATGATGGTACAGAATCTCAGTTTACTTCTCGCTAGCAAATACACTGCTGTGTGTCTGTTACACTGGGGCCAGGGATCAGCTCAGTTTCATTATTTTCATCTTTGGTGCAAGTTTTTCAGCCCAAATTGATCAAAATTGGATGTTACAGCCGAGCTTCCTGCTGTATCTCTTTGTTAAGATCAGACAAACCACAGTATGAGTATATGTCTTTTGTTCCTTGCCCACTTCAGCTGTATGTTTCCTACCCGCAGGTGTTGGAGTTGCTGAAGAAACAAAGTGTATACTCCAGGGAATTTGACGCCATGGATCTGCTGCAGACTCTCTATCTGGTGAAGACGGACACTGTTGATGGGAAACCTACTGGTGCTACAGGAAAACAGGAGAAGCAGGATGAAATAAAAACTGCTGGAGGCGACTGTGCCGGCGGTCCTGCAGCTGGCAACGCTAGAACGGCCGAGAACGGCTGCAACCATACGACCTCGGACACAGACAACAATGTGGAAACTGAGCTGAGAGGTGAGACAGGAGACGACCAAGTTGTGTTAGTTTTCATTGATAGGATTAAAAACCACATTTCACATTTAGAAATTCATAATTTTTGTTGAGCACAGTTCTGTCTTTGTTATATTGTGTTATCCTTTTGAACTGGAGCAACAAAAAGACAGTTTGGTTTCAGACTCTTATCTAACACAGTTTTAGCACAGTAAGTGAACTGATTGGATTAGTAAGAAATCTAATTTCCTTTATTTCAATGTTTTATCAATTAGCAGTAGTCTAGTTCACTAATAAGTTATCTTTTTATCAGTCTCAGTGAAGAGTGGTGGTCTAAATCATGTTTTAGTGGTTTTAAGCATCTTTAGTTTATGATCGTTAAAACTGATAGCACAGTAAGTGAACTGGTTTGATTAGTAAGAAATCTAATTTCCTTTACTTCAATGTTTTATTAATTAGCAGTAGTCTAGTTCAGTAATACGTTATCTTTTTATCAGTCTCAGTGAAGAGTGGTGGTCTAAATCATGTTTTAGTGGTTTTAAGCATCTTTAGTTTATGATCGTTAAAACTGCTGTGAGTAGAGACGAGGCATTAATCTAAGACTCGGTGTCATTTTATCCTGGATGAGAAATGACAGCTGGAGGAGAGGGTGTGTGCCAGCAAAGCGACAGTGGTGACATGTAACTCTACCCAGCAAAACCCGTTTCCCATCTTACAAACAAGTGTTGTTGGCACATCCTGCAAAAGAATTCACTTTTACTTTCAGTTGAAGTTTCTGCTCCAGTGCAGGTCAGAGATCATTTTGACAATAACTTAGAAATAGTTTTTTTGTCTTCTTTTTGTTTCTGGAAGTCTTACATTATTAGGTAGCATGATGTCTGTTCAACTTTCTGGGATACACAGTACACTTAATGACTTTCCTACGAGTCAGTTGAGCAGATCGACATCACTCGTATCCTTTGGAGAAGCAACTTGTAAAAATGTGACCATCACCTGGCTTCAGGACAGAGGCTAATGCTAAACAAATTGTACGCCAGACAAACGTGAGGTGTCAGGCCACTTAAATAAATTTGAATTGACTTATTAAGCTTGTAGACCACAACCCCAAATAATAAATCACTATCATGCTAAATAATGTTTTTCTTTTCAGAGCTCACTCCCTTGCTACCAGGAAGCGACGTAACGGGCAGCAAAATCAGCGAGGGGGGGCCTTTCCGGCAGGGAGCGATGTGATTGGCTGCTGGCATGGCGCTGGAAACCTGGATCAAGTGTTTATTGTCCCATGGTGCATCTGCAACTCTGTAAATTCCTGTCCTGAAGGAGGGACACAGTAAGACGAGAGGGTGCAGCGGCATGATGGGAACCATCGAAGTTTTACCTCATCTTCTGGACATTTATCAGTGTGGACTTCACAAACTCAAATAAACAGCAGAAGAAGTGTCAGTCGGGTGATGCGACTGAACAGCGGACATGTCAGTTAAAGTCCGGTTGGTACAGATGTCAGGAAGCATCTGTCATCCCTGGTTAGTATTTATAAACATTATAAATCTAATCAATCATTCATGTCACACTGTACTGTAGCTGCATGCAGCGATGACGCCGCAACAGTATGTACAGACTTTGTCAACACTTATAATGCCTATACTTATGTTATAAGTGTGTAGATGAATGAGCCATACTGCGATAAAACACCTATACTTATGTTATAAGTTGAATGAGCCATACTGCGATAAATGTGTAGATGAATGAGCCATACTGCGATAAAACACCTATACTTATGTTTTATCGCAGTATGGCTCATTCATCTATGATCTTTGTCCATGAGGAGTTATAGTCCTTGACAGATAGTTTAATAAACACTTATGTCTGGTGGGGGACTTGTAGTAAATTATTCTTGATGTATTTCTGAGGGTGAAATCACTATGGTACTACGGAGATGCAGCTGTTCTGCTCATCAGTTGTTTTTTTCCACTGGAATTGTTTGACTCTCAGTCCAGGTATTTAATTTGGATAGAGTGACTTTGTCTTTTTCTTTTCATATTCCCTGTTGCTTTACATGTTCATCGCACGTCTTATGTACTGTATTTTCTGTGACTATTTAAAATACAAGCAGCACAGTGAATGTCTGCTTGCTGCCTCTGTGGAGCTAGAAAACCACTGTCTGAAATTAAGTTGTCAAAGTTTTTCCATTTGTCTCAACTTTAAATTTTCATAAGAGGACAAATGTGTTTATTTGCTCATTTTAAGACAATGTTGTGGTTGCAAAGGGGAATACCACTCAATTTGTTCTTCATTATTCTGCAGTTATTTGGTCTACACAGTGAGAAAAGGCAGCTAAAACACGAGGCTGTCACAATGCAGGTGTTTAGCTTCCTGGTCTGTTTTAGAGGAGCTAGTTTCTGGACTCATCGATTGGGTTGCCCTTATTATAAAAACAACAAATTCATGAATTCTTTGGCATTCCCATTAATAACCACATCATCTGCACATGTGTATAACTGTTCATTCAATCATTGTTTCACATGTGAAGCTACAGCCAGCTGTGGTACAAACACTGGAAGATTAAATGTAATGTGACAGAAATGGTACAAAGTGTTCATCACCTAATGTGTAGCCCTCAGGAGTCAGTGATCACGTGTGTTGATGTTGTCAAAGTGTACAAATAATTATCTGGACAGAAAAAATGAGGTTGTGCTGAAGAAGGTATTGTAAACATTGGCATGTTAAACATATTTTCATGTAGCATATAAAGGTAAACCCAAAACTATTTAAATAAATAAAAAAATCAGCCAAAATAGCCTTTAAACATGGTGGCAATTTTTAAGGAAACAGAAAATCACAGGTATTGAGGGGTTTAGGGCTTTAGGTTCTAGGATTTTTGTGTCAGAGTTGATAAAGTTTTCAGAAGTTCGAATGTCTCAGACTGGAACGTGCCATGTTTGCTTGGGAGTCTCAGGGATAAAACCATGTCACTGCTGATGTCAGACTTTACTTCAGACCTCATCCACTGCCGCCTATTACACCACGTGGAACATTTTAACGTAAAACTGAGTCTCTGTAGACCAGTGTCTGTTTTATAAACCTTTCTGCTGTTTTTTTCATCTGATAAATAAATGTTATGTGGGCTCCTGTTTCTGTGCAGTGGGGCACTTTATTAATATAAACTCTTAAAAAGAAACTGATGCTGTTGGTCTTCTTGGTAATTAGAGGAAACCTCTCATTGTCTGAAGTGATATTTTGATGTGTGAAATTGCTGTTGCTCATCAAAGATCAAAGATTTTTATTGTCATTTCACTATATAAGGGAGTAATGGACAGCGTTCAGCATCCTCACAGCCTGCTGGATGAAGCAGTTTGTAAGTCTGGCCTGAAGACTCTGATACCTTCTCCCTGAAGGCAGGAGTCTTTAAGTGGGAGTGTGCAGGGTGGGAGGTGTCATCAGAAATGCTGATGGTTCTGCAGGTGAGGCGGGTGTTGAAGATGTCCATAAGGGAAGGCAGAGGGGCGCCGCTGATCTTGCTGGCTGTTTTCACTATGTGTTGCAGGGTCCTTCTGCAGGAGGCAGTACAGGCTCCGTACCACACAGTGATGCAGCCAGTGATGACGCTCTCAGTGGTTCCCATTAGAAAGAGTGCATGATGGGGGGTGGGGCACTGGCTCTCCTCAGTTTGCAGAGGAAGTAGAGGCGTGTTTGAGCTTTTTTGGCCAGTGATGTGGTGGTGTTGGTCCAGGAGAGGTCCTCAGAGATGTGCACCCCCAGGTTAACTTGGTGCTGCTCACTCTCTCCACTACAGCACTGTCGATGGTCAGTGGGGGGTCCTTTAGAGGTTTCCTCCTGAAGTCCACAATGATCTCTTTAGTCTTCCCCACATTGAGGGACAGGTTGTTGTCCTCACACCACTGGACCAGTTGGCACACCTCACTCCTGTAGTCGGCCTCACATTTGGGATAGGAAGCGCATCATTTGGAATAGGAAGCGCATTTGTATAACTTCAATTCTCTACTGAGGTAAGATAATTTAATGTAAACGTGTGTGTTTATCATTGGGAGGTAACCAGAATCGGCTTTATTGGCCAGGT